AAATCATACTTGTCTTTTAAAATACATTTGATCGATAAACCTTCAGAAGCTCTCCATAAATCGCATTGTAAAGTCTTTAAGCTAAATCCTTTGTTAATCTTGCGTCAATATTAATTTTCAGTCGTTAGTATCATAAGATAACAGTATCCTGCAAGCAGAACACCATGCAAATTATAGAAGATATTCAGAATTTATTTGATATGTGCTAATACCGTTCTTTATGTAGGGTAGTTTTCTGCCAATATTTATATAATAGATTACACAGAAGACTACCTTCAACTTATACTATCTGCACGGTATTTTGCTATTATTTTATATAATATTTTCGCAGAAAAATACCCAACTACATACCTATAAAAAATAGCACTATTTGATTTAATGATATAAATGAAATAATATTTTTTTACTTATTTTCCGGCAGACAATTCAGAGGGGTTCCTAGTGCTCTGAATTTCAAGCTAACCACTAGTTTCTAAATAGGTCAATACCCATATCCTCATCATTTGACTTGAAAACCGGAGCTTCATAGATTCTGGATGTTTCTAAAACTGAGTCTCTAATTATAATCCTATCACCTAGTACTTTGACCTGAATCAAATCTGTTAAATTTCTTCCTGACGAATCTGCAAATAGTTGTAAAGAAGCAGAAAACAAGTGTTTACAGATCAAAGCACTACTATCATATGACTCAGAAATTGGAGCTTTAGGGATTCTGGGTTGAAGGGTCTCATCTGATAATTCAGAGGTCTTTACGGGCTGAAGAGCCTTAGTCTCAGCCTTATGTTTCTGCCTCATCTGGTAATTATGCGAATAGAACTTTGCAGAATACTTGGAACAATATTTGGAATAAAATCCTGAATCAGTATCGATAGAAAATCCACAACCAAGGCAGTGAAATTTTTTCATGTTTTTTTCATACAATTTCCAGTGCCTATAATACCCAGCAGAATCACAGCATTTATTTCCACAAATAGTGCCATTTCTCTTGATATGTACGCAGATAAAGCGAGCTATGGAAGTTTTTATATATAAAACTCTCTTTTACTTTTAATTTCATAATAAAATATGTATTTAAATTAATCAGTATTATAATAAGATAAATTATCTTTTTATACTAACATTATGAACATATCAGGCCAACCGGTAGAATGCGAGCCCGCTCATGAAAAAATATATAACCCCAAATCTAATCGCATGATAGTTATAAATGGGCCAGTATATCGTAAATTGCTACTCAAAGGCTATATGCATTAGAAAGAAGAAAGGCTATTGATACCACCTTTGTATGAATTGCCAATATTAAAAAGATACCTTTCTTTCATCTTCTACCATATTTGGGGTATCATATCAGAAAGAAGTTTACTAGTAATGGTTAACAAAAAAATAAGCCTATTGCAAATTTTACTCAAAGTTAATTGGCACAATTTCACTTTATGTCAACTGTTAAAATTATGCTGGGAGCATAAAGAAACGAAGGCCTGGAGAAATGAAGTACTCGTAAATTTTCTTCACCAGCTAGATTTAGCCCCTTTGAAGCATAGACCAAGAGCTTTATATGATGCGTTCACTAAGACAAATGCTTTAGAACCGGAACAAATATTAGCTCTAGCACGAGCACTTTACTAAAATGTGAATCGATACAGATAATTAGTTTATAGCCTTAGAATGGCGGTTCTATGACTATGTATTTTTTTTCGCATATCCTATCTACCTGCAATTTTCAAATTGATGTAAAACTCTCCAGCCAGAGCGGATGTGTTCACGTAGTGAACATCCTGTGTAGGTTATATCATTATTTTTTCGCTCCTCCAATTCTCTGATAGCTTTTACTAACCATAAGGCAGTGAAATGACAGAATATTTTTTTTTGAATTGAACTTTTCAGATATAGAATAACCTAAGGATTGCACATAATCTAATAGTTACTTATAAACTATATTCGCATTATCATGTCCGCGGTTGTAATAAAGTACGTTGTAGAGCACGAACTCAGTAAAGATATAAGTAATGAAGAACTTAGCCAGCATGCCCTAGCATTACTCGAGCTTTTGACAGATAAAGTGAAAAGAAACAAGGGTCGACAGCGTTTATAAAAAGTGTTAATTTTAGCAAAAAGCAGGTATTTATATTAGTTCCCGATCAGAGAATTTGTTGAAGTAGAAGTCAAGTAACCCTTAAAGAAAGAGGGGATGAAGCAGGAAAAGTTAATATATGCCAAGTATCTGACATCATCCCTGATGGAAAAACCATTGAAAATACAGTCAGACCTCTCTAAATACACCCCCTTTGGGACTGAGCAAAAGAGTGTATTTAGAAAGGGTGTGCATTAAGAGAAAATCTATATTTTAACAGATTTTTATAATATATTAACTATAAATTTATTTGTTTTTATTATATTGAATACTGGATTTATTAATTACAATTAATAATAAATAAGATTAACCAGATTTAGAAAATTTCGTCACAAATAAAAAT